GTTGTTTAGATTACACGTGAATAAGATTCTGTTATTGCTTCCGCTGTGGTATATATTCCATTAGAGACAAGTGTAGGGAACCTGAAGAAGAATTTGTTGTTGTGGCTAAACAACGAAAAAAACCTAACTGCATGTTTCAATGAGTGTCTGAAAATCTCCAGCACAGACAGCATGATCTACATAAAATTAAGAATAGTGTTTCCAAAAAGACAGCAGGTCCATAACCTTTCCTGTAAATGAACGACAGTGAAGTTGAAACTCTCTACTGCTTTCTGCCATTGTCTGTTCTTTTTTTTTTTTTTCCTTTTTTTTTTTTTTTTACTTTTGTTTGATTAGCAATCCAACTTCTCTTTAACTGCTAACCTTCACTGTAACAGAAAGAGATTTTAATTTTCACTAATTTTTTTTGATAACCAAAATGATTTTATTTTCAAAAAATTTAATGCCAAGGGAAAAGGAAAACACAATAAAATTTTTCCACGCATGCACATAAGTCTGCAATCACAATAAGTAAAGCTTAGGTTTAGCCTCAACATCTAAAATCTAAACAGACATCAATCACGAGAATGTTTATTCTTAAATCAGGTTAAGGATGAAATACGTCTATGACCAACCTTCTTATCCCTCTTTTCGGAGATAATAACATGATTCAAATTTGCATCTTTTCTCTTCTTGAGAGCTTCTTCCCTTTTCTTTTTGGCAATATCATGTTCTGCAAGCATCCAAGAAGGTGGACCTCTCTTCTTTTGTATATTGGTCCATTGGCCCCAACCAGGCAGTAAAAGGGGTTTTTCAGGCTCGGGAACTTCCTCATTCAAGGCATCTTGTTTTTCTCTCTCAAAGTCGTCTTCAACATCATCACCAGCAAAAGCACGCCGAATAAGTTCTTCCTGAGATGGGATTTCATATGTGGACTTAGCCCCAACAGATAAAATCCCATCAACCATTTCTCCTCCACTATCTGTATCATTATCCTCATCAATTTCCTGCAAGCAGAATTAAGAGTCAATAATAACAAGCGAATTCTTTGTGTTTTGCACCCCTTATGTGTGCTCTTTTTTTATTTACACCCTAGCCTTTCTTTTTTAATTTGCACCATAATCTCCCTATTTCCTTGTAAAATAATCAAAACACTCTTTTCTTGATTATCCATGAGGGCAAGATAGCAAAAAAAAAAATATTACATATTGGGCAGGAAACCACATCTGCCAGAGACCGCATATGCAGTAAACTATCTGAAGAAATCTAGAGGTCCCAAGATAAAATTCTTGAGCACTTTCACCATAAACAATTCTTAAGGAATTTTTTGGCATAACAAGACAAATCAGGTACCCACCATGCTAATGTAACTCAACTTTGAAGAGGAAACAACATTCCGTTAATGTTCTCTGTCTTGTTTCTTTTCATTGATTATTATTCACATTCTGTTGAATTGGTGCTTGCTAATGTCCACATTCTTTTGCTCAGCTGTTAAACCTTTTGTGCTTTAGCAAGTGCAATTGCAAAGGGGCCTAGTCGATTTGCAGAAGTTTAGAAAATATATACATTTCTCCTATTTTTCAAAATGGACATTGAAGTACAAAATAAAGCAATTGTAAAGGGGCTTGCTCCAATTTTCTCCCTATTTCTGCAGATGTTACAATCTGCTAATTTGACACTGATGACATTGAAGCAGAAAATAAGGCAGATTTTGTTATCATATCGCAAAGATAGAAAATACAAAGAGAAAGAGTAAGATTTATCAATTAAGAAACGCAATCCGGAGAAGTTGTTGCGGAAGCCAAATGTATATAGTGTGAATAAGTCACAACTACTATACCAAAAATTATGACAGCCACCAAATAATAAATAAGACAATAAAACAACAATAAAGGGAACACCAGAATTTACGAGGTTCGGCTAATTTTGCCTACTCCTCGGACACAACCAATATTTTATTTCACTCCAAAAATACAAGTGAAATAATACTAAAGAGAGAAGATACAAATGCCTTAAACAGATGAGAAGGCAAATGAGTAGGCCTTCTTTTATAGGGGAAAAATCCCCTCCAAACTTAACTCCCAACCAATGTGGGACTTTGGCATTTTGCCAAACTTCAACAGAAGTTACATAGAAGAAATGGAAAAGTAAGAAAGGGTAAAATAAAGCACAGAAGATATACAATCTTGAAATTCTCTAGCTGCTGGAACTTGGAAGTACTGTAACCATTTCGTATTTAAGCTTACAGCCATTTTCATGATAGTGGAGGAAAAAACCCTTCTTCATTTCTATTCTCTCAGATAGTGCGAAGTGCATTTTCTCTTGTCACTCTCCACTGCATACATAACTGTGGTGAAAATAAAAGATATTTTTTTGGATTAATACATGATAATTTTATTTTATTTTCCACCATATTTTTTCTTTTTCTTATTTGTATTTTCCCTATTGCGCGCTCAGGAATAATCGAGAAAGAAAGTGTCTTTATTGTTTAGCAAGGAAATAAAGAGATAGGGAGCAAGTCACTAAACATATTAGGATGATGATAATGTGTAAATCACGAAAAAGAGCACACATTAGGGGTGCAAAATCCAAAGCTTTCGCAACAAACAGGTCAGAGAAAGTGCATTGTGGATTCAGCATATAGAGAGATTACCTCCCCTTCAGGTTCACTCGCAACAGGTTCTGTTATATGTAAAGCCATTGCACTTTTTGCATTTGCAGATTTTGCCTGCTTCCCTTTAATTGAAGAATCGTTCATCTGTTCACCAAATAAACCAGTAAGACTAAATTTGCTAAAAATTGATTTTTGCAAAAACAAAAGCTGAACCTTTTTCCACGAGTCGTCAGCAAAAATGGAAACTTCGTATGAAGTCTTTGTGCATGGTTCTCTCGCAATGTCCTCAAAACTCTGAAACCCAGGACAAATTCAAACTTTAAACACCTCAAACAACGCAGAAAAGAGAGCAATATGAGATGGTACTGCAGGATTTGATGAAGTTCATGATGCAATTACCTTAAACAGAGAATCATGACCAATCTCAGACTCTTCACGAAGTGAACTGGGATCAAAATGAACTTCCCTCTAAGGAAAATTATTTTCTTCACGAGCAGTAATGCCAGTTTCTCTGGCATCTCTCTCACCTTCACTATCACTGTCACCATAGTAATTGTCTGATGTCGCTTTCTTTTTGGGTACAAGTTCCTGCTTTTTTTGAGCTCCAAAAACTCTCCTACAACTCAAAATATTTGTTCCTTGAGTTTTTGGCTCGTTCTTCTCTTCGAATTCCTTCAATGATGACTCGTACTCTTTTAGAGCAAGCTTTGCTTCTTCATCGGCCGCTTCTTTCCTTCTTTTCAATCCACGGACCTGTGAAATGACAGTGTTTCAAGATGGTACATAAACAATCTGAGATGCATAACCATAAATGAAATTCCAAACGTCAAAAAATTAAGAGCAAGTAGTGGTGCAAAGGAACGATTGATGAAATTACCATGGAAAGGTAAAGAAAGCACTCCTGACGCTGGCAATTCTTCATCCCCATCTAAGACTTCAACGGTCTTGTCCTTTGCTTTCTTCAACAGTTTCACTGCATCGTCCTGATCTGATCTATCAGAAGTCTCATCAAGGTCATCATCATCACTGCTTTCTTCACTACTACTACTCTCTTTCAT